GGGAGTTGAAGTCCACATGCCTTAAAATTGTCAAGGCTGAGAAACACTGCTCTAAGCACAGATACCTGAAGCAATCCCCCGTTAATTGCAACAGAGACTTCTTCAAAGCAAACGTGCTCCTGAATATTTATTCAGCAATTCGGATTATCACAGGAATTACATCAGTGCACAGAGCTAATCTTTCTTCCTCCCCCCCTTTTTTTTTTTTCCTTTTACACTACACCCCTTTTACTCTTTCCACGAGCATGCAGGCCACTCACGAGTTAAAGCTGTTCTGCTTTCGCCTCAGTTTTTCAGTACCTGACAAGAAGAAGCTTTAAATAGATGCACATGCTGTTAAGACAAGAATATCCAATTATAAATTGAATTGGGAGAACCAAGCATGGAATTTTTCTGCTTCAGGATAGGGCCCAGAGGCAGATCTGTAAGATGATGTCATTGTCAGAGAGCTTTGCACAATGAAACTCCAGTAACCCTTTCCACGCCAGCTCTGTCTTGCGCACGAGCCAAGCTAATAAACTGCACCTTTAAAGTACAAGTGCAAAAAAAGGGGGGGGGGAAAGAACACAAACTGTGCACATCTGGATAACTATTTAGAAAATGCAGAGAGACAAGCTTAATCGTTCCCCAAAATGAGCTTTTCAAAGAAACTCGTCCACCAGGTTAAACCAAATAGCATTTATTGCGGCCAATTATTAGTTATCCCAGAAAGAGGTGTTGGCCTCTCAAATAATTTAAATCCCAAACTAAAAATAGTAAGAACTTCAACTGTTTATTATCTTCAAGCTTTTTAATACGGTCTTTCTTATTTAATAATCCATTATTACAGTCACATAAAATTCTATATCCCAGCCCAGTATTTCACAATAAAATTGTAATATATCACTACATTAAAGAAACCGGACTGGAGAGCGCTTCAGCTTTTAGTGTTCCCCTGAAAAAAGAAAAAAGTGAAGGCATACGTAGTATAACCTATGCCATATAAAATTATAGAAAAGAATGACTTTTAAAGTTTATAAATACATCCACTGTTAAATATAATTAAATGGTATGTATCATTAAACTGCTTCTCTGATAAAAACCAGGCTCCTAAGGCAGTTTGAGCTAAGGATGAGAACAAAATATATTCACACAAACACACATTTGCCTGAATAGCTTACCTCTAGCTATCAAAAAATCAGGTAAAATCAGGTAAAATATTTGATTGTAAATCATCATTTATATAATTGTAATCCAGGGTGTAGAGCAAATAATAATCGTTGGATTCATGTTAATTCAAACCAACCATGTTATGACTTAGCAACATGTATTAACAGAGTCACTACTTTCTGCAAACTGTAGATGCTCTGACAGAAATCTCACCTTAGTTACATAAGCATTAAACCACCTAAGATAAACTATTAGCCCTCCGTGCCTAATTCCTATTTGAGAACAATTCCACTGTACCGGTATATTTAAAGTTGTTGTAAATATTATCAAAAACATATGCAAACACTCAAGGCCTGATTGCTTTTAATGCTTGAATTAACAAATAATTGCATAAGCATTTAATGAAGTATAGCCTCAGATATACCATAAGACTCAGATCTAAAATGTTGGTAAAGTCAACCAGTTTTGTAAAATGCCGGAGGCAAGCTTTAAAGAATTCCAGTCCGCACATCCGATGGATCAAACATAACCTCAGTTTTACATGTATATTTTCCAAAGGACTTCCAGCCCTACACATGAGGTACAGTAAATACACCCAAAGAACTGTTTTGGAATATCAATGGCAGGAAGGATCAATCTCCTTCCCAGGAGAGTTTCTATGCTCTTCATTCCAGGCTAGCTGATCCTTCACCATCAAGTGATACGAGGAGTAGGCAAGTAATATTGGCAGCAGGTGTTCGTGCCATCTTCCGGTAATTTGAGAATTGGAACACAGATGCCTCCACACTGACTGAAGCAAACAGCACACCTCCCTACTGTCAACAAGTACCAAGGGAAAAAATATTCACCCTTCAAAGCCAAGCTCACATGAAAGCTTACAGATTCTGTTCCCCTTTGCTGATCGCTGCGCTCCTTAATTAATATGTACACGGTTATGCACTCTGTACCATGATAAAAACAAAAAGCACCAAACTGTAAAAATGAAGACATGGCAATGTCTTCCAAGAATCAATAGGCTAAAATTTAAGGTACCTATTTTCTAAGCACGTATACTGTACTTATTTTGGGTCAGGTACCCAAAAACTTGCAGGTCCAAGGCAATCCTAGAATAAGCAAAGGTCTTCACAGAAAGAAGCAATTTTGTTGTCCGCTAAGCTTTGCTTTCTTTACAAAGCGCCCAAACACCATGTAACCAATTAGGTCTTTTGTGATAGTGAAAATACAAAATTTTAAAACTTACCCACTGGACTAGAACCAGTTCCATTTGGCACTGAGAGATCGGTGGTGGTCAACATCCCACCTAGTTAAGCAATGAAAAAAAATACATATTACATTCCGTGTTATATACTGAATGGAGGAAAGGAATTTATAGATTTTTAGAATCAGTCTTACCTGCGCTACCTGTACTTGGGGGTCTCTGAGGACCTCCAGGTGATACATTTCGATGCAACGAAGCTTGAGGAGGAGTTAGCAGTGTGGGATCTGTCAAGGTAGAGCTTGCTGCCAAGGCTGAGGACACAAGAGAGCTCCCAGGGCTATAGTTTAAAGAATTGGGGCTGGATACAGGAACAGTCACCGACATTGAGAAGTTCTGCGGAGGCAACCCAGGCTGGAAGGGGGGAGGGGGGGAGGGAATTGAGACAGAAAAGTACATCTTTTGAAATCTTAAATTGTAACCAAGTGTTAGAATACTAGCTTTGATTTTTTATAAAATACACAGATTACAATTATTGTTTTTTTATACAAAATATTGGCATCAGTTACATACGACTACTCAAAGTTTCAAAATTAGTTAAGAAACAAATAGCTTTTAATTTCTTCAAATTCATCAGTTTAGAAATGGCTTATTCAACATTGCGAGTAGGAAATGAAATAGGTTAATTGATATTCACATGTTACATTCAAGCAAACATTCAACAAAAACATATTGGCCTTAAAAAAAAAAAAGAATCCACAAACAGTAAGTTATACTGCTACAATCAGAAATATCATGCAGGTAAAAGTAGGCTATTCATAAAAATTCTAATATTTATTTTGTCTTCTAACAGTTGAACATAAATTTGATTTAATACATTAAAAAAATTTAAGTTGCCAAGAAGCTAATAAAATGTTAGTGTGTGTTATGATATTGTAACAGTATTCATATGTGTGAGGGAGAGTAAACATTAGCTTGTGCAAGGAATGTAGTTGAAAGAATGTTACATTAAAGTCATCTACACATAGATAAACTTTATAAGCCTTTCTATTTATAATGCTCCCTTATGGCTCTCAAATTCTTCCTCAAAACTCATCTTTTACATGAAGCTTTTAGCCCTTAATTTGTATATTCTGCTCTAAGTACAGCCAAGCACATAACTATCGTGTTTCCCATATTTTTCTCCTAGGCTGTATGGGATTTTGGCATATTAAGGCCTTTAAGACAGCCGTTATTTTTTATCCATCCATAGGCATATGACTTCAGGTACATTAGGAGATATCACAAAGGTCTCTGTATTTCTAAGTACTCATGAAGTTTCTTCTTCTTACTAAAATGTAGAATTCCTTAGTACCTAACAGGTACTCAGGCTTTCTTTGCTGCGTTCTACACCAAGAAGATGTACCCAATCAAATTGCATCGCTCAGCAGAATTTGCCTAATAGGATTACTATGACCATTCAAGATTTCTACCTCGGATGGACGCACCTCAAGTGGGTATTTCTGCTTTCCAAGCAGAAGTAGCCACAGAAGGTGGTATCCCCCAATCTTCTCATGCATGTAACAAGAGCACAAGGCATACCACAGTACTCACTGCGATTTTATGATTCCGCATCATATTATCAAACTCTTCATTAATTTTTTTATATTTTTCTTCTGTATGTGGCGTGAGCACATAGGAAGTGTCAGGGTCTGGGCTGTCGCACCCTCTGTTTTCCTTCTTGTTCAGAGCCTAAATAATGAAGTTAATAAAAAGAATCAACAAATAAAAAGTAGGAGCCAAGAGAAGTACTTACAGGGCCTCGCTTGAAAATAAAATCACTATCTTCACTTAGTTTGCTGAATCTGTCCTCCGAGAGTGGGCTGTGCTCAAAGTAATCGTCAGCATCGGGGCTTTCACAACCATTAAGGCCTTTCTTTCTTAAAGTCTGAAATACAATTGGAAAATTCACACACAGAGGAAATGCTGCACTTGCCATGTTGTTGTCATTTCAACTGCAAAGCTGTATTAAGAGGGCACTGACCGTTTCACAGCCAAAGCCACAGGAATACTGCTTTCTTAACACACTGCAACTTTTCAACATTTGTTAACAAAACTATAATTCCCCATCTCCTTGGTAACCACCACAATTTTCCCCCCAAATTTCCTGGCATTTTAAAAAAAGTTTAAACTAATTTTATGGGAAATTAGGAATGATCCATTTCATTGTTAGTAGTAGTATTCATCTGTAATTTAAATCTACAGCGAGTTATGAGCATTCCAGTTGTAAATGGTTCCCGGTGTAAACTGAACCAATGTTCTAGAACAAGAGTGGGCCGGAGATTGCCTGCCCTCTATCAGGTAGGTACATGAAGGATCAGCATGCTCTCCGTGCTCTGATTTTAGCTTCGAGAGATCTCGAGCATCAAACAGCTTGTTACAAGACATTCTGTGTTACTCTCCCCTCTGCTTTTATTTATTTTAATGCCAAATACAGTCTGAGAACTGGAATGGAAAAACAGCAAGAGAAAGAGGCTCTTAACCCCTTCCTACCTGCTGTTCACCTCACCATTCATTATGCAAATTTGTTAGAGAAATGGAACAAGCTATCCTTCTCCTCACTTCTGAATAGGTAAATAGGTGATTTCTGAGCTATAATACACTCAATAGAAAAAATGAAGCAGCTTAAACTCCAGGTTCTTTTTCCATGCAAACCTCTCTAGCTTATGCGTCTACAGAATCACTATTATACTGACCATTCACACATTTTGTAATAACATTTTCATTAAAATTGTGTAAGTTCCCATAGACGAAAGGTACATTCTCCACAATGCCCTGCAAAATGCAATTGTTCCTCAGAAGGCAATCATTGTGAAAAGACTGTCCTCAGCTTGAAATTTCCTTTCTAAGCACTAGTTAAAAGCTTGTTGCCAGAAACTACAAGCTTAACATCTCAAAGATATGACAGTATGTTCTGATCTCAGACCAATTTTTTTGTCCTGTTCCACGACTCCAGCAACTTAAGTTTACAAACCAAAAATGCATTATCAAATATACTTATTCATTACAAGTACAAAGAGGATCCTGGAAGGAACATAGCATGTCCATTCTATTCTCCTTTAAAAAGGAAACCTCAATCTTTTAGTTTGAAAGGTAGACACAGTGAGCTTGTATGTTCAAGACAATGTTTTTGGGACATTTCCTTTTTACATTTTAGAGCAAAACCCATAGCTCTCATTTCATTATTGCTTGCCATCTTTTACCAATAATGTAGCAGTGATTAAATATCTTGATTTTTTTTAAAAAATCTTTTGTTGAAAAATCTAAAACTATTAAAATAGTTGTAAGATCTAAAATGTGTAAGTGTATAACCACACACACATTCTTTTTAGATTTTGTGTATGTGTATGTATGTATGTATGTATGTATGTATGTGTGTGTGTATATATATGTGTGTGTGTGTGTTATGTATATATGTATATATGTGTATATATATATATATACTGTATATATATACTGTATATATCTATGTATAACTATATATGTGTGTGTATATAATATATATATATATATATATAATGTATGTATGTATATTATATATATATGTGTGTGTGTATGTGTATGTGTATATATGTATGTGTATATATGTATGTATGTATACATATACGTATAGGTATACGTGTACACACACCCACACACACATACACATCCCCTGCTCCAGTAAACTTATGGTACTTCTTTGAGACAAGTAGAACAACAAAAGCAGCCAACTCACTTTGTGGGTCAGCTGCATTTCCATAACAACTTTTCAACTTTAGAAGCTACAGTGCATTTAAGCAACATTTGGCTTGGTACTGTTTTCCCCCCCTCTGCAGCATCAAAGTGCTCTCAGCATTTCACATAACACAATCACATTCATGTAAAGATCACAAGGCACCGTTAGGAAATAATTCCTTCTCGGGTTACTTGGCATAATATTCTGCCCCTCTCCCCTCCCCCCCCCCTCCCCCAGTGCCTTGAACTCCCACCAAATCAGGCCACGTTGAGAAAACAGGTGTAGCTTTCACCAACACCTGTCACAGTACTTATCTTTACTGTCTGACCAATCAGGTGGAGACTTATATGGACTTAACCATACATGGTCCTGCAGTCTAAGACTCTGAAAGCTGCTAGCCCTCCCAAACCTCCAGCAAGGCTGGCCTGCCAGTCTTTTACTCTGTGATATCAGCAGGGAAAATGCTAACACTACAGTCTGGATTACATTTAACCTTTACAAATTATTGAATGCTATAAATAGACTCAGAAAGCGTCTGGCATTCATAAAGGAATGAATACATTTTGCCCAACATGACCTGACGCTCTAAAACGGCATACTGAGAAAAAAGGAAGTCGTTGATGTTACAAACTGCGAAGAAGTTTAAAAAAAAAAAAAGTTTATATAAGGCAGAGTTTATATACTACTACTACAATACCGCAGCAGCGTCCTTCATTATTCCCCAAGACGCATTCCGATCTCATACGTATTGTGTGCAATACATGACTGGACTGGGATCTAGAAGTATTGTGAATTGTGAAGCTCACTGCAGAAGGCTGAAGCATAGTTTCTGAACAAAAGATAATTGCCTTCTTTTAACAGTTATTTTCAGAAGAAAAACTAACTCTTGACTCGGAAGGAAAGGAAAAAAATCTTAATTTATCTCCCATTTCTGATTCTGGAAACCTTCCCTTCAAATCAGGTTCTTAGGTGTCTTCAAACTCTTAAAAGATTAATTTTGTGATGTTTAAAAGTTTGCTCTTCTAATCAGTTTCACACAAACTGTCCTGGAGGCTTCATTCAAATAGAAACATCGCATTTTATCACAATTGAATAATGTAAGAGCAAAACTGTTACTCCTGTACTGTATGTCAAAGGAAAACAAGTGGATGGCTATCATCTAAGAAGCAAAATCCAACCCAACGTGAGAGATAAGCCAGACCAGTTCTCTCAAAGGCAACAACATGTCAGAGATAGCTGACTCTCATCCATAATAGAGAGGGCCCCTATTTCTTGGAAAGCAGCCTATTTGTGCTCTTTTTTTGAGTTTTCTTCTCTCTTAAACAAAACACAGTGTAATAACTAGTGGTAAATGAACATTTGTTTTTGCCAGTCTTGATAGTAAGACAAGTTATCACAAGCAGGCTGCTTTCTCAGCTTAGCACAGAAAAAAAATGACTTGCTATGAAATGCTATAACTGCGTCAGGGACACCTTAAAAGTAATTAAGATTTGTTATCAGAATGGATTTACTGCACAAGGAAGGCCTATGCCATGCCGTGCCCTTCTTTGGGAGAATATTTTCTTAAATTGCATCATTAAAGTTAGTCCTGCTAGTGCTGCTTCTGAACACCTCTCAAATACACAGAACAGCATTAGCCACTAAGCCTCACCCCATTGTAAAATTCCAAGGGCCTCCAAGTGTAAGATCGGAAGCGGTCTTCAAGCTAAAATAATGTGACACTTATTACAGATGAATTGGTTAATAGTTTAGTAGGTTCTTAACCTTGATGAGTTCCCACCCGACCACATATTGCTCCAACCACATGAGGATACTGCCTCCTAGAACCCAGAAGATAACAGCAGTCTCAATATATGTCTTACAGAATGTGATCATTTTAATAGGGTCATTTAATAGGATCACAAGTCACAAATAACAGCAAAGAGCAGCAACATTCCACATTCCAAAGGACCATTTCACAAACTCATATACTACTTCACAAACTCATATAGTCACTAAACGGTTTCATTGCCCATAAACCAGACATGTCAAACTTGCAACATCATGTGACGTCGCGTGATGTAGCGGGACTGTTTTGCCACTGCCGCCAATGGGGTGGGCGTGGCTTCCGCGTGACGCATCCGGCCCACGGGCAGTTTTGACACCCCTGCCATAAACTGTCACATCGTTAAATGGTAAAAGCTAGTTGAAAGGTAATTAGCATAATGCTTTCTGGACTCCTAATAAGCAAAGGCAATTAACATTCTATTTTATTAAACTGTAGTGATTTTAACTTTTACTATTGCTTTGCTTTTATATCTAATTGCAAGTCATAATATTTGCATCACTCATTTGGGGTTATAAAATTAAGATGGTTATTTTTATTTAACTGCATGCCTCAAGTAATAATGGAGGTTTCTCCTTTTTAAATTCCTGAATAGCGTGATACATAGTATTTGTCAGCAACAGGACATTCTTTGTTTAGCTTATACAACATGCTTGCATAAAATGTTTTTTTTTCTTTCAATGTGAAATTTCAAAAATTCCTTATGTAGTGACACTGATGAAATCTGCACATACCTAAAAAAAGCTTCTAATACTATTTAAGTAGAGGATATACCTTCCACCTCTTTATACAATTCACTATATCCATAGCATTCCAGATTAGTAATAACATACGGTGTGTAGGAGACATTGTGCTCTTTATTAGTGTTTACATGTTAAAAAAAATCCAGCATTCCTTCAATATTTTTTTCTTCCTTACCAGTGGAGTGCCTAACCATACTGTTGCCATAATTCTTTTTCTGAGGAATTGGAAGAGAAACCCAAAATGCAATTTAAGGAAGATTTTTTTCCCCTTCTTTTGTAATCTGTTAGGGCATAAATAAAATCCTGATCCAGCTTCTGCCAACCTCTCTTCTACTATGCCATTGTTTGGATGCCTGTCCTCTCATCAGACACAAAACAGTGGCTGTTTGACAGGGCCTGGAAGGACTTT